AACACAGAGAGGATAGACGGGGAGAAGGCAGCTGGTGAGGGGTGAGGGAGGCAAAGGTGAGGGCTGCCCTCACCAACCACCGCTCCTCCCCTCTCACTGGCCAGATCTGTGGGAGACCTGAGGTACAGGAGTCTGCGTATCCACCATGGCGTTCCGGGGGGCCTGAAGTTCTCAAGTGTTGGCATAAATAAATAAATCCTTGGAGTAGAGTTCCCAGATGCCTACTTTGGGGTGGGGAGTATGAAGTGGGGAGTTCCCTAGACCTAGGATTCCCCAGTGCCCAGGGGAGGGTGCTAGGCAAGACTGGGAAGCCCAGGGCGGGGTCCCCAGACTGGAGCAGAGTGGGAAGGAGGCATCACCGTGGGGATGGCCCTCTACTGCTGCATTCCCCAGAGGGAAGCTGTCTGAGGGGTCTGACTGGACCTCCCCTCTAGTCAGGAGGCTTCGGGCAGTGGCTGAGCCTGGCGACTAGCCCAGTATCGATGGTAGGTGTCCTGGAAGAGGTCCCTGCAGTCGATGTGGGCACCGAGGCGGGAGCAGGCCAGGAAAGCCCCTGCCAGCTTGCGGTGCAGGGCATAGGTCTCCTCCGGCGGTGGGCGGAGCCGGTGCTGCAGCAGCACTGGGATGAGGCCCTGCACCCGGTGGGCAGTGTCACCTGCCCCAAAGTCATATGGGCCCTGGGTGGCGAAGGGCTCTCCCAGGATCATCACAGCCTCCACATGTGCATCGGAGAATGCCTAGGGGTGGGGGAGAACAGAGGCACAGCCCTCCTCTTAACCCAGAACCAACAAGCAGCACTCAGCTTCTGCACAGTTTCTAGTGTAAACACAAGCCCCAGGCTCTTTCCAAAGACCCCAGAAGACAAGCAGCCCCAACTCCTCCCCAAAGGACCAGCCCTTCACTCCCTCAGAACCTCCAATAGACAAGCACACCTCACTCTGTAAAACAGAGAAGCCACCTCCATCCCCCACTTCCTCCCTCTAGAATAGGTAAGTTGTGCCTATTTTCCCAGGGTTCCTCAGTGGCCAAGGAGGCCCCATTTCTCCCAGTCCTCCTCAGAGCCCCCCAGTATAGATCATTAGTTCCCCTACTCCCCCGGAGTCCCACCAGTAGAGTTAAGCAGCACCCCCAACAACACACACCAGCCCCCACTTCCCTAGTGTCTCCCAACCTTGGTTTCAAAGCCTGTGAGAAATTTGAGGTCCCGGGATTTCTGCAGGACCCGGTCTCTGTCTCCATTGGCTGCAGCCATCACCACCTGGGGAGATGGGTGTGGAGCACAGGGTCAGAGGCCCAGCAAAGTTTAAGGGTTCAAGGAGGGGTCTGGGGAAATGGAGACTGAAGGTATAGCCAAGCCCTCCCTATACCTACTTCCCTTCTCATCTGCCTAGGCCCTCTCACCTAGAAGCCTCTCTGCCTCACCTTGCCCTGCTGTGTCTCAAGACTGTTTCAGAGCCTGGGGGGTCAGGATGGTCAGGGGTTCTGCCCGCCTGGCTGGGAACACAGACCCTGTCTGGAAACTAAGCAGTAAAACAGCACAGAGGAAAATAAATGTCAAGTGCTGCTCATGGGCCCAAACATGCATATGGCCAAGCATGTGACCATGACCCAAAACTGCATCCAAGGTTGCCACTAGGCCATCTCTGATCACCTGGTTGATGTCTGTCTCCTGCACTGGACTTGGAGTCCTGAGAGAGCAGGGATCCCGGATGGATGCAGTTCCATGTGGTAGAAGCTCTGGCACTCAGGAGGCTTTGATGAACCTTTATTTAGCATATTAGTGTGTGGAGCTAAGCACCCCTCCAGCCATGAGTGCACATGTAGGGGTGGGACTGGAGGGCATGCAGACAGTCAAAAGCAAAAGCCAGCCTTCCTGGGCTCAGTCCCAGCTCTGCCACTTGTTGACTGACTCTGGGCAAGTTGCTTTGCCTTAGGCCTCCATTTTCTCATCTGTGAAGTGGGGTTGATTAAAGTTATCTTCTTCATGGGGAAGTTGTAGGGATAAAGGTGACAATAGCTGTGCAGTGCTGAGCACTATGGGGGCATGTAGGAAGCACCACAAATATTATTAGCTACTATTATTATTAAGAGGTGGATCTGAGGGTCCCAACTTCACAGAAAACAGGCTCACAGTGGGCAACAGAAAGGCGAGAATGGAACCTGGGCGATCCCTTAACCAGTGAGTTGCCCTTTCTTGGGAGGAAGGGGAATACAGGATTAAATTTGGCAGTTCCATTCTGTCTCTGCTCCCTTGTCCAAGCCTGTCTGGCCATCTGTCAGACCTAGAGTTCTTGGGGGCCAGTGTGACAAGGCTTTTTTTAAACTGGAGACTGCTGGGAGGTGGCAGGAGGGCCATGCTAAACAGTCTGGGGGAGGGGACATGAGATGTCCCAACTACCCAGACAGGCCTCCAGAAGAGGGCCCACCCCAAGGGGCTTGTATACGAGGCGGGAAGGGGGTGAGTTACCAGCTCCTCCTTCCTGTCCCCATCTCAAGGGTGGCCCCACCATGCCCAAGCCAGAGCACTGAGCCTTGTCTCAGATGCTGCTTTTCCTCTCCCCACAGCCTCCCTGGGCTCCCAGACTCCAGTCCTAAAGACCACTCGTTATTCAGAGGGGGGTTCCTAATTCTGACTGTGCCCCTCTCCTGCTCAAATCCTTCCTATGGCTCCCCAGGGAGCCCAGATAAAGTACCAACTACAAAGCATGGCTCTGAGACCCAGAGTCATTTAGCTCCAATCCCATCCCTGGCTCCTGCTCTGCTTCCCACCTGCCTGCCCAGTTCCTGTATGTGTAGCTTTGGCATCAGTGGGGAGTGTGTTAGAAATGCAGCACCTTTTGCCTGACTCCAGGCCAGAGTGCATTTTCATAGGGTCATAGGGTCATGGGGCAAGGGGGTTCATATACACAGTAAGGCTTGAGAAGCACGCTTTCATGGGACTACCTCCTCGCCTCTTGGCCTTTGTCCATATTGCCATCTGGAACACCCTCCTAGCCTCTTCCTGATTGGTCTCCGCCTTTAGGAAGCCCTCCCTGACTCTGTAGGCTGGGCCAGGCTCCTCTGAGCTCCCACAGTGCCTTATGTGTCCCCCTCCCAACCCTGACTGCTCTGGGTCCTCACTGTCTGTTCCCCCACTGAACTGTGAGCTCTTCAAAGGTGGGGTCCTGGGCTGGATTGGTCACTGTTGTCCCCAATATTACCCAGAATAGGACTGGGCACAGATGTGGTATCAAAGAATGTTTGAATTGATGACTAAATGATTAGAAAACCCAGGTTGAATGTCCACTCTCACCATTTAATAAGATGGTGTTGTTCTCTGTGGCCTGAGATGAACTGACCCTAGTGGGTGGGAAGGACAGTGGGAGGGACAGGCAACAGGTGAGGAAGCACCTCCTGAGGCAGAGCAGCTCCGTGGGGAGCAGCCTGCCGGGAGTCATGTAAGGGCAAGGCTGGACACCAAGATCCTGGACAGCATGGGTTATGGGGAAGTGACAGGAAGGCCATCGTGGGCCTTCCTCTTAGGAGGAGGCTAGTCAGGGTTGGGAGAATGGGCTGTGGACCCAGACCACCTGAGTTTGAGTCCCAGGTCTGCTGGGATCTTGGGCAAGTGACTTAACCTCTCTGAGCCCGTTACTTCATCTGGAAAATGAGACCAAGAATGGTCCTTACCCCATGGAGTTGCTGTTGGGTTTAAATCAATTTCCGTATGTATAACACTTAAAACATACCTGGTATAATATTAAGTGTTGGTATTTGTTAGCTGCTATTAATATTACTATTATTTCTTAATTCCAGATACTGTATTTTTCCTTCTCACCCTTGCCTCAGTAATGGCCCTTCAGACCCCAGGGTTGGGGGACTCACCTCGATGTAATGGTCTGTGAATTCGGTCCCAAATTCCCGGCTTGCACCAAAGTCCAGCAGGGTCACCTGGGAACAAGGATGGTAAAAGAGATGCTAGGAGTCCACCAACGCTCCCCATTATCTATTGGAGGTGGCCAGGGTCACCCTCCCTCCTCCACCCTGTCTCTTCCTGCTAGTCTCTGCCTGCTGTCTCCCTGGGCTCCTAGCCTCCGGTCTCTGCAATTCTAATCCACCCCCACACGAAGCTGAAGGGATCTGGCTTTAATTTTTATTTTTTTGGTCCTAGTGGTTTTTATAATAACATGCTTTGGGCACAGAAAAGAAAATCCAGAGAATAAAATATATGGAAGAGTGAACGCAAATCTCACCATGCTTAAAATATAAAATAATACCAATCCAGGTGGGGCCTCCCATGTACCCTGAACTGATCCTACCTGCCCCATGTCCCCACCCTCTCTTCTAGGGTCACCACTTTCCTGAAATTATTATTAAGTTATTATTTCCTGAAATTACCATGTGTGTATTTCTATATTTCCTCCTATGTGTGTGCACCCATAAACGATAGTCAGGTTTTGTGTATTTAAACTTCACATAAATGGTATTTATGATAATTATCCTGCAACTTGTTCCTTGTGCCTAACATGATTTTACGATTTATCCCCACTGCTATGTGCAGCTCTGGCTCACTCATTCATTTTTCATTGCTGTGCAAGGACTTCATTGCGTGACTGTATCACAGAGCATTTATCTGCTTGATGGACAATGTAGGTGTTTCTGGGTTTTCCTATTAAAAAAACAATGCTAGATGACACCTGTAGGATTTTCTCTAGGGCAGTGGAGTTGGGTCTATTGATTACAGCCCATAGTAAGAAGGGCAGGTTATACTGGGCACCAGTGCCAATACCACATAAACATAAATGTCAAACAAGTGTCCTGAAATATATTATAGCTCCCTTCCATCTGTGACACACTGATATTTTCTATTCTATGCAGGAGGCAGCCAAAAGATGTTTCTCTCTCACATCGATGTCTCGCTCTCTCTCCCTTCCTCTCTCTCTAAAATCAATTAAAAATAAATAAATAAAGAAGGCTGCCTCTTAAAAAAAAAAAAAAAAAAAATTTTTTAA